CCACAGCGGTTCTGCCTCCCTTACAGGGAATGGCCTGGATATAAGCGCATCTCCCACTCCTTTTTCCTTATCTATGTCTGCTAGCAGTTTCAATATATTAGAGCTGAGATGCTCGAGGCTGCCTGAGGGTTTGGAGAATTAGATTTGCAATGTTCCAGGCAGTTCTGAAAATTCCTAAGAGGGTGATTTTACAACGCTATGAGTCTGATCCTTCAATCCCTACTCGTGTAAGGAGTGCTTGCTTAGAGAAATGAAGTTTAAATATTACTGTCTTGGAGCCAAATTTTGACATATAGCTGCTGGTCATGCCGGGAGCACATTTTTCTTGTGTTCTCCGATCTGCAAGCAAACTCAATGGGAGCACAAGCATCTTCCCTGTGGGCAAGGTGCACTGCTGGATGTGCACGCAATTAGGAGAATGTAGCAAACATGAGAGATGCACTCAGTGCACATAAACGGGAAACAGGCTCGTTGTATGCCATGCTGAAAGTGGGGAAGACTTGGATTATTTTTCTTGGCTTGTTTGCCCGCTATTGTGCTATGAGTTTGTTGTTTGGGGTTTTTTTGTTTGTTTGTGATATCCAGGCTTAAAATCTAGAAAAAGCTAATAAGTAGACGAGATGAGTGGACCCACATGTCTTACTGGAATGCATTCACTCCCAATGAAAAGACAGAGCAGAAGCACAGTGCTGCGGGTCTGAAGGCAGCAACCTGGAGAAGATGCAGGAACCAGTATGGAGCAGTTCCAAGGCCACAGCACAAAGGCTGTGGGAATGAAAGACCTCACCACAACTAAAAAGCAGACCCAGACAGAGAGAAGGTAAATTTACCTCTAGTTTTAAAGCAACGTAAGGGACAAACAGTTCAGAGAGGATATGATCTGTTAGGCTGCTGCATGAATTTTCAGGGCAACGAATACATGCGTCTGTCTGTCTGTCCATGTGGTAACTTCTCTGTCTTTCAGCTGCTTTAAACAAGCTTACCAGAGAGGTAGCAAGCTGGAAGGCCTTCTATTAGCAACACAAATTGTGAATACAAACACTTAGACAGCGATAATCCTCTTCGAACCCCTATTGAGAAAAGAGCTGCAGTATGAATCAGAGCTCAGTCATAAGTGAGGCACAAGGCCATGGGAAACCAGGCTTCAGGAGCTGTGCATTTTGTAGGGCTCCTATTTTAGCACATTTTTCTCCATCACTGCAATTAGCAGCTAGTTTTCTTTCTCAAAGCATAGAAACTATTGTATTTCAAGAGGTAAAAAGCAGACGGGATGGAATGCTGATTGAAGAACAGGATGAGCAGTGAGATTTTGTTTGGAAAGGAGCACACAGATCTACCTTCTGAAAGAAACAACCGGGAGAAAATAAAAAAACAGGTCATAGCTCACCCTGAAAGCATAATGGCAACCAAAACTCTGGTCCTTAGTGAAGGATGGACAGAAATATTCCCCATTCATGTCTAAAATATTGCTCCTGGGCAAGTATATCCCGCACATTGGACTGGGTGTTCACAGCCCAGAAAGCAATCTTGAACAAGGTGTGCATGAGAAGCTGTCACGAGTTCCCCACATGCCTGGAGTGTCTGATTCCACCCAGTGAAGCTTTGTGACAGGAGGAAAGACTGAGGATTTTCCACATTGTTTCCAGCTGGTAATTGCACTCATTATTCTTACTGCATACAGGAGACCGTGGCACACTGTGAGGATGTGTTTTGTTATGCAGGATAGAGATGAAGAACCTCGGCAGAACTGGCAGAAGCTTGGCAGAGATCTGAGTGTCAAAAACTAACTAAAATTTATGGTGAGCTCAGATCTGCATTACTCTTTATCTCTCCAACACAATCACTGGATTTCACTAACACTTTTCTTCTGCTCGTATCCATTAAAGTCTCCTCATTGGTGCCCACTCTTTCTCACAATACAAGTGCATGAGCATCAGAGAAGTTTTCTGCAACACATTTGACAAGCTCAACAATAGGACACTATGCCAATGGAAAACAAAATCCCTATAAAGCCTGTAATGAAAACATGAGGTGAGTGCATGTCCTCCAATATAATTTGATTCTTAAACCGCGCTATTCCAATCACTTTTCAGAGATGACTTAAACATATTTGGAGTAATAACCTTCCACACATTATCAACTGATACATATGTAACAGCATGCCATCTTATTAAACACATTTCTGGGGTCTGCAGAAAGCAAAACTTGGATTCAAATAAGCATGGCTTCAGATGTGCAGATCAAAAGCTACCCCCAGCTAGTGACACACAGTAGTACCAGGCCATCTGGTAACTTGCACAAATCTCAGATTGGTTTATGAACAGCAAATTGACCCCTCTGCACATGCCTGGGAAGTGGGTGGACTCTGCTATTTCCCACAAATGTACTCTTTTAATAAATGCCCCACATCAAAACGTTTGCTATGTTTTAACACATGCAACTTCTTACTTGGAACGGCGCATTCACTCCCTGTCAGCACCCAGCTCCCCTCTCCTGAGCAGGTCATGCCTTTTAGCTCAGCACAGCTCCACACAGCTAACGTACACAGGAAAAAAATCTACTTTGTCATTTGTAGCCATTGGAAACTGTGAATTTTGTCAACGTTACGTCTGAGTGTTGCAGCAGGACCCAGAGGTCCAGCCCAGTCACCATCACACTAAGTATAGTTGCTACCTCCTAGGAGCTAATTCACAATGAATAATTTAGCTGACAAACTTAGTCTGCTTGAGAAATACCCAGGAGCAGATTTCAATTTCTTCAACCATAATGATTAGTCAAAATATGTTAGAATAAAGATGGGGCAAAAGAGGTTGAGAGGATGAAAGAATTAAAAATAAAGGGGATCATACTCTGTTTCTGAATAGCATAGCATGACTCCGTGCTCCTAATTTCTATTCTTCACACCCAGTGTATGAAATTAATTTGGGCAGAAAAGAAAGCAAAAGCTGTCCAGGTAAGTGATGCAAATGTAAATGCATGCTGGCCCAGCTACGAACTGGAGACAGCTTGCATTGGGCAAACCCCTGTCTTGTGACAAAGCAAACCACATCCAGGCCTGGGGATGTTTGCATCTTTGCTCAGGTGGACCATACCCTAATGTGCTCTGCATCCACAGTGTCTCAGATTGGATGTAAAACAGGAAAAAAATACATGTGGTGAGAGAGAGCTACTGGTTCACCTGTAGAGTGGAACAGACTATAAAAGAAACAGAGTAGAACCAACAGATACTGAAGTACCTGCTGCACTTCCCAAATTGATACATTTTCCAAACACCTGGGACTTGTCATACTATATCAAATGTAAATATACGTAAAGAAAGACTCTTGCTTCTGCAAAACACAAGCAGAGCTAGAAGAAAACCTAATCATGGGCTCATTCCATTTCTGTCAAGCGGCTCTATGCTGACTGCCACTGGGCTAACACAGAATTACACTGATGTATTTACAATATAATATTGTCCCAAATATCAAAATACTTAATAGCTGATCTATCCCTCATCAGGTGACTTAATTGCTGCAGGTTAATGGCCTTGAGAATGTAAATGTCACTTCTCCTCAAGTCTGATGTCTGATCTAAGAAAGCAACAGTAAAATATGTGCAGTTTAGTATCTTTTAACTAACAACTGGGGGTTTGGTTTGGCTCAAGTAAATTATTGCTTTGATTAAAAACGAGCAAATGGCACTTAGAATAGTGTATGAATGAACAGGTTCCCCGACTCACGATGATCAGATGCACTCTTTAAGACTGTATATTGAAACATACACGCTCTACTACCCCCCCTGGTCCTTCAACATAGAAATTTTGAATTAAAAAAGTCAGCCCGCTTCCCTCCCTTCCTCCCATTCAGCAAGTCTGGCAACAAGACTGCTGCCACAGAAGTGAGCATGAGCATGTGCGAGCTCTGTGCCATATTAGCAGATTTTTTTGACAGGCTTCTTTATTTTTCTTAACGTGGGAGAAAGATGTTTGTTTTATTTCCCGTACGTTGCAGTGAACGGTGAATAGCAAACACAGTGATCGGTCAGAAGCAGAAATGTAATTTACAGATTCAAATTCTACAGGCTCCTTTCAGAAACATGATGTTTGGGGTAAATAATTGCTCAGGAATGTCTAGAAGAAAGCCTATCAACCCAAGTACTTCCCAGGCAGACAGCAGTTCAGTCTGCTACGGACAGAACTCCACATGGAGTGGCTTCAAAGATGGAAAAGATAACTAGACAGATCTGCCTTGGAGGCAGGTCATCAGCAAGGGGATGGCTCCTAGACAGGTACCAGTTCTTGTCTGCCTACAAGTGAGTAATAAGCCTTTGTACAGCACCTTTCAGGAAAGCAGCTCATTGAGTTCTGTCTAGAAGGCAGGTCGGCATGCAGATATGCCTAACAGGCACAGAACTATGCAAGCCTGCCTCTCCATACCTTCAAAGATCTCAAGACAAGTCAAGAATTTCATTTTAATGATTTCTGCAGAAAGCTTTTATTTCCTGCAAGAAATCACTTCCAGTATGGTTGCTGGATATGTCAGGCTGCAGTTTCTTTAACTACTCACTCTTAATGCCAGATACAAGAAAAGAATTCCTTTTTACAAGGGTCTTGTAGTATTCCTAATGCAAAAGGAAATGTTTCATAAGATTTGGCAGTAGGTTACTACAGAGAGCAAAATGTCCAAAAGAACAGTCAGGTACAACAGGAAAAAGAAAAGCTGAGAGAAGCTGATTATGTGTGCTCTATCCATATAAACATGGATGCTGGCATACTGTTAGCTCTCAGAACAACATGAGTAACAACAACCATCTGCACAGGAGGTTTAGACAGTATTAGCAAAAGCAATAAAATGAACTTTAAATATCATTCATATTAAAAAGTTTTAAAAATCTCCAGTCAGCAAGGATTTGAGAAGAACCATGACTTTAATCACTCGACTAGACTGCTTTTTAATAAAGATGAAGTGCTTACTTTGTATGTAACAGGTATGGTTTCAACATATTTTTTATTCAAACAGCTCTCCCTTAGGTATGCTCGAGTCAGGATTTCAAGCACTCTTCATCACAGCGCTATTCACACGTTCACTTTTTACATGAAAGCTGAGATTGGGTACAAACTGGACCAGCACCTGGAATGCTGTGATAATGCGTGCTGGCCCAAAATGGACCCCAGAAATCTTGGGCACAGAATGTGAATGTATTCTGAAGTAAGAATGAAAAACCTGGCATGCTAATTAGCAGTTGTTTTTTTTTTTTATGAAAAGGTCAACTCTCTCAAAGAATCATTCATCAGCATCCACTGAGATGAGCACCACTGTCAACTGGAGACCTGCAATGGCCATCCCAAACCAGCCAGGGCCCCACAAGGCTGCTCAAAAGCTGTAGTTATTTTCAAAGAAAGAGAAGCAAAAAAGAGGAGATCCGAAACGTGCTCTAAGTTATACGCAGAGATATTAGGCACATATTGGGAAGGGAAACAGCAGTAGCTGTTGAACTGCAAGTTGCACAGACAGAAAAGAAGGAAACACTAACCAGTGCTGCAATTGCTGAATGTAATACTCTATTCTGACCAATACATGTAGCAATCAGTAAGCCCTAAAACATTGTGGCAGTGAGTTCTCAAAACACAATATCCCCAAACATTTCATATTATTGGTGGTGTCTTTGAAGATAATACCAAGCACAGCAAAGACACCTGTCTATAAAGGAAACATAAGGCAAACAGCAATTTTTAAGCCAAAAAAAAAAAAAAGACAGTTTGGTTTAACTCTGAATATCAGTAAGCCACTCTTCCTACCTGCACAATCTTTGAAGACTCGGGATGTGAGACCCTGCACTTGCATTATGTGGGACCACCTGGCCTGCCAACTGTCAGCAGGAATCTTAATGAGAGTGGCTGCTTCTTTCAGAGTGATATCCCCACAGGCACCTGCAGAAAGGTCAGCTCATCTTTGTAGAGGGCTCTCTATGTCTGAGAGCTTGATCTTCAGTGTGCAATCTTTTACCATCATATGCAAAAGACTTCCCACATAGCTGAACCAAGAAAAAATGTCTATTGGTACAACTCCAAAAAAATGTGACTCACACTTGCAGTGCACATGAGATCATTAGTCTACACATCCCCCCAATCTAGATAGCTTAGTCAAACTTATTTTACATGACCCTACACTGATAAAGCTAAAAGTTCACACTAAAAGCATAATGCTGGCATCATTTCCTACTTGTCTGGCACTACAGCACACCCTTTTAAGCTTCCAGACTGTGAACTCTTAGTTTGTCATAATTCACATGTTATTCAATAAACTGTATTATTCCAGCTCCACAGAACCACCAAACAGAAATATTCATCGACAGCTGTAGCTTCAGCTCTCTGAAACGCTCTTCAATTCAAGGACATGTTTTGCTTTTACAGAAGGTTGTATTTTGAGCAGATAGATCACCATTTTTTTTATTTTTATTTTTTTCCAATTTGCAAAACGTTCTGCCTTTCTGTTTAGGTTTAGCTAGCAATTGACTAATGGAACTTCTTAGAGAACTCTCCACATCCCTATCAAAGAAAGATAAAAAGTAGTATATATATGCCTGAAAGCCCCACTGCTTCAAATATGAGCAGAAGGCCAGGGATGAGAACATTTTATTCTGAACTGCCTTTCCCATACTTCTGTTCCAAAGGAAATCCGAAAACACCTCAGAGATACCCAGAGGCCAATTTAATTTGTTCAAATTGAAATAGCCCCTTAAAGGTCCTTTCCAGCTGGTGATCAGCTGATCTACCTGTCTTGCTAGACGCTACCACACAGGCTGTGCATCCTGCTCATCACTAGGATAGCCCGCTTCAATCCCTTTTAAATCTCTCCGGATTCTTGCAGATGTTGAATTGGATTCACACAGGTCTCAAAAGTTTAGTTTTGAATCTTACACAGCACTTTTATATGTGCTGGAGGAGAGGAGAGGTGGGAGGAATGCCAGCACTGTGTGACCATGCCTGGGCACACAACCACGTGTTGGCACCTCCTGAGGATGTTGGGCTGCAGCACTCATTTCTCTACTTGGCACAGAATTGTTGAACTGTCTTCCTGATAACACATATTGGAAATCACAATAGCTTCACGTTTCTATGTTCTGCTTCAACTTCTGTTTCAAAAACAGAGAAGATAAAGGCATTTACCTTCATGCCCTCAGTGTGATACTTCCAACAGCACATTCCCAGTGATGCCAGCTTGGAACCAAAGGGATTACTAACCAGTGAGGACCAACTGTTGTAATCTGCTTTCGAAACACTGAGCAATAATAAAATAACTTTAAAGTTTTGCTTACAATTCAGCAGTTGATTATCATTCTGATTATGCCATCAGTTACACTTGTGCACACACAGATTAAGTCGGCTGATGACAATGAAGTCAGCTCTGACACGAACCCAAGTCACCAAAATTGAATTTGTTCTCTGATCTAATTTGAGCTATGGAATCACAATCACAGACTTCTTCATTAACAGAAGCTTAAGTGTTCAACTGAAGGACTAAGGAGAAAAAAGTGGACTTTTTTATTTGAAGAATGTCAGATTTTGAGTATCTTCATAGGAAGACACTCAAGAAGCAAAGAAGAGGGAAAGAAACCACACAAACAACTTCAGCTGCAGTTACATTGCAGAAGCTCCAATAATTATACACTGAATCATATTTGTCAGCTCAAAGCACTTAAAGAAACTGGTGAAAATACCTTCTTTAAAAGTCTCTACAAAATTTTGTGCTCTTCATAAATGAAGATTGTAAAGCTACAAGTATGAGAACAAAGCTTTCTTTGCAAGATCTAGCAGTCATGGGGAGTGGAGTAGAACAAATGAAATGGCAATGAGCATTCTGAAGTGTTTGCAATAGTTGTTCTACACAAGTGGATGATTCTGCATCTCACTTTCATTATTACAGCAGCCAACTGTTTTTTAATAACTGAAACTCAGCTGCATTTCTACAATATCATTCTACCATTACAGCATCATAGAATCATTAATGTTGGAAAAGACCAACAAAAGATCATTTAAGTCCAACCACTAATTATTAAGAACAATCAAAATAACAACCCACCCTACTCTGCATGACAACTCTATGCCTTTCTAATACTGTATGTTCAACTCTTACAGGTTCAGTGAATCAGATGACTCCAGGGAAGCTAGAAAAATCTAGATTCTTTATCAGCAATGCTAGCTGCTAAGTGAGAATGATAAAACATTGCAAATCACACTTTGCAAGCCATTAGATTCTGAAGGCAAAACAGGAAATGTGGGCTAGTAAGACAGTACACAAGTTGACCATCACTCTTGATAGCACTTGAAAGTGAACAGAATGAGCAGAAGATGGTGGTGCTTCGTCATATGAAAAGGTTGCAGAGTCTGTGGCATGTTGCTGCACGGTGCTTTGAGTCCCTTATCTTGCAGAACACAAAGAGATCACATTCTGACAGCTGTATGTTTGAGACAACACAGCAAAGTACAGGAGAGTGGAAGAGCTCCACCGCCAGCCACAAAGGGTCAGGGTGGATTTCAACAGAACCACAGAATGGCCTGGGTTGAAAAGGATCACAATGATCACCTATTTTCAATCCCCTGCTATGTGCAGGTCGCCAACCAGCAGACCAGGCTGCCCAGAGCCACATCCAGCCTGGCCTTGAATGCCTGCAGGGATGGGGCATCCACAGCCTCATTTGGCAACCTGTCCCAGTGCCTCACCACCCTTTGTGTGGAAAACTTCCTCCTAATATCTAATCTAAACCTCCCCTGTCTCACTTTAAAACCATTCCCCCTTGTCCTATCACTATCCACCCTCGTAAATATATTATTTAATATGCAATGAAAGAAGAGAGCGTGTGGGGACTGCTCCAAACACATTCAGCTTTCATGAACAACAAAAAAAAAAATCTCTGCTTGGAAAATGCTTTGTTTCTGAGGGCAAATCCACTGTCCTTACATTGTTCCAGTTTGACAGAGAAAAGAATATGCCTTGTCATCATTCTGCAGAATACAACCACAATCAAAAATTACTTCTGAGGCCGTTAATAACAACTTTGGGAGTATCAGCAAAATTGTATAAAACACCTCTTAGATTTGGCAAGTTTAAATGGGTTTGAAATAACAGGTGAATAATACATTCGGATTTGCTCCGTGGGCAGACAGAGCAGAGAAAATTACTGCAAGACAAATTTTTTGACAAAAACTCAAGATAAACAACTCAGCTCTTCTTTGTCAAGACTAACAGAGTGGGCGTATAAATAAAATGCAGTAGGCAGAATGTCTCTGGAGTTTAACAAGGCCCCTAGCAAACTACCACACAGAAAACTCATTAACACACCGGAGAATCATGGCACCGATCAATTCAGATGAAGAAGAGAGATTGCAAGCAAGGAGATTGTGAGTGAAGAGATAAGTGTCACGCTAAACCCGACTGGATGGAATATCAAGAAGGGACTGGTGAGATCCCACATTAATCAACTACCAGCAGCCCAGGGCAGAGCTGGGGCTGCTCCTGCCCTGCCAGGGAAATGACACTGCAGAGCAGCCTGCTGCCTTTCTTAGTTCAAAATATAGAGAGGATATTTATTATGATCTGGCCTTCCAAGATTCACCACCCCCCCCCCGACATGACTTGAAACAGGGGAAGCCTCCAATTCACTTCACATTTAATCTTTCATAATTTAACATGCTTCACAGAAGTCCTCCTTCCCCAAAATCTCTCACGTATCATTCTGTATTGACTACTTCTCCACCTTTTCTCCTGAAAATCACTCTCTTACAGAACATCCACTGGGTAAAATGCCATTAAAAGACTCTTCAATCAACACATTTTTGGGGGGAAGTCACATTTATTAAGAACTGCACCACAAATGACAACTCAATCATCCAGGCTGGCTGTGAAGGACAGCAGCAGTTGTCACAGCCGGACGAAGACACAGAGACAGACATGTAATGAACAGCACTTTATTCTCAGCCACGTGGACACTTTCAGCCATCAATGTCCTTTATTTGTTTCTCTTTGTTAGATTTCTCAGGTCTCTCACCTGAATCTGTCAAATGCAACTGAAATACCTCGTGGGTCTGCTTGTATCAAGTGCTGCACGAGGAACACCCTGGGCATTAGCATGCAAACAGGAATGTCATTGACTGTTCCACACAAACCTGCCCAGTCCCTGTGCATGTGACAGAACA